CCGATGCCGTGGGGGCTCGCACCGGGGTCCCGCAGCTTGTGCGGGGAAAGCCGCGGAAACAGCGCCCCACTGACCCTTTCCCCTTCTTCTTTTAATCGGGTTTTGAATCCACCGTCTTTTCCTGGCACAACACTGCCAGGCCCAAGGGTGGTGAAGGAGGCCCATGCCTCCCACAGCCGCCTTGGCGGACGTTAAGGGTCGCTCCTTGTACCGGTAAGGTGGCACAAACTGACCTAAGGAAAGCACTGAGGGCAGCAAGCCTCTTCTTCCAAAGCTGCACCGACCTCCCCCAAGGCTGTCAGGGCTGCACTGAAAGCAGGAAAGCTGTCACAAGGATGAGTGTTTTGTTTCAAAGCTCTTCAGCGGGTAGCCTTTGAGACGGATACATGCAAAATGTCATTATTCTTCTGGTTTAATTTTCATTCACGATGGCTATCCGTCACAATAAACCCATGCCATTTGCCAGTCTTTTCCTATGTAAAAAGGCAAGATGTACATAGCATACAGTTTAACTACACGTAAACAAATATAAGGCAGAGCCCACAAAAATGCCTAGAACTGTAGATGTCAAACTGTCCTTCCTTCTTCAGGTAGAAGTCAGCTGCATTGCAGTTGGCAGATTACCACGCCACACACACACAAAGACAGACCTGTTGGCAAGAGACCTTTCTTTGGAGTAGAGGCACCTTCCAATACTTACTGATTATTCCTCATATCTTTCATGCTGCACTTAACATGAAACTGTTCTACCAGAATACGCCTTTTCCCCTATCACATTGCTCTGTCCTTGCTTACTAATAAATTATTTCCGGGAGGTTTTGTTTAGATTGTTTGTATGGGTATTTTGGCAGTATCCTCCTGTTCTTCCTAAATCACAGCTTCCACATGCACATTAATATAGGCCTCACTCCACTGAACTGTGGACGCCCTTTAACTCCCAGCTACTTCAGCAAGAATGCCTGGAGCAACGCAATGCAAACACATTTTAAAGAAGGTGGTGACATCCCTTAATGGTTCACCCTTTCAAACTCATTCACTTGCCCTTAAAAGATAAGCCAGGTCACTTCCACCATATATTATACTCTGTGTGATACTGAAAAACAACTGAGTGACCATTTTAAGAAGCAGAAATGGACTGGTAAGAAAACAGTCACATTTGTCCTGTGAGTGAGGAGGGGAAGAAAATTTCTTGCTGGAATACCAAGTATGGTGACGCCTTTTCACCTGTCCACTAACTAATGTACTTCCATCTGCCACCCTGAAATGGCAGAGAAGCAGTTCCTTTGCAATAACAACCTTGTGAAGTGTTGCCTGGTGCATTTGTACTGAATCAGCACTCTGGAGACGAAGGCAATTCTTACTGTTTTTAAAGAATAAGGTATTTTATTATGGAAGTTCATCTTCATAACAATGTGTGCAGAAAATGACTGACACTCATTAAAAAACCAAAAAGTTTGTTTGATGAAAACAAAATGAGGACTATTTACATTAACTTTCTACCACAAACAATGACATTGATGACAACTGAAACAGTTCAGGCAGTAAAAATTCTTTTCATGTCTTGAGAGACTATTGAACAATAACTTGACATTGTACTGACACATACCAACAGGGGTTCAAGATGTTTAGATAGCCCTGACCAAGATGTACACTACAGGAGGTCAAAAAATGTTGGCTACACACTTATGTGATCTATGTCTCTCTGTTGTTTTAACTCATGAAATTGATCTCTTACAGGGAACTTTAGGAAAAATGCTTCAGTATGAAGAAAAAAACAACCACCTTCTACAATACAATGTTTTGATATCTGAAGCAGTGAATTTATCCAGAACTCTCAAAGGTTTGTTAGCATTTAGCATATCCCAGGACTCTGCCCAAATTACTCTCTGCTTCCCCTCACAGCTGCATCTAAACACAAACCATAATTGACAAAACCAAGAGTATCACATACTGCTCTGAAATATTTTAAAACCCTAAAATCAGGTCTACAAATTACTGCATGTATACAAGAGGTATTTGCCAACAAGTATATTTATATAGTAAGAAAAATAGCATAACATTTATACCTAATTTACAAATATTCCAACATTATAGAAATGATGCTGTTGGCTTTATGTAGGAAAAGCTAGTTAGGCTGGAAAATGAACAGCAATACATAATTGAGCCCTTGTTAAAGGTATTCATCAAAAACACAAGAGAGATTCTTGTTTGCACCTGTCCTCTATACTATCTGTTTTTCTTCCTCTCTCTGCTTCTGCTTCTACTGCGTCTGCTCCTTCCTCTGTGTTCCACTTTACTGCACTTGTCCCCATAGCGCTCTCTACATTTTTTCTTCTCCCTGTGCACATCTGTGCTGGGGCTTCTGGCTTCATTTTTCCTGTGCCGCTCTTTGCCAGGGCTTTGACTTGGACTTTTTCTTACTTGCCTGTGCCTGGAACTGCTGTGACTTGCGCAAGGGCTTCTCCTGCTCTCCTCATCCATGCTTTGGCTTCTACTATCCCTCTCCTTCCTCCTTTCAGTCTCTCTCTTGTTGGTGCTATGGTATCTGCTTTTGGACTTTCTTTCCGCCTCACAGGAGCTCCATCTGTTGTTCTCTGCAGAACTATCTTGCTTTAAAGGTCTGTACTTCTCCCTGTCTTTGTCCTTGTTACCGTGACTACTGGAGAGATCTTCATAAAGTTTTTGCTTCTTAGTCTTTGCCTTTCCTTCTGAATCGCTGCTGCTGCTGCTAGCCTCTGAAAACTTGTCTTTTTTTCTTTTCTTAGAATACATCTTCTTTTGTGCCGCTTTATCTCTGCTGTCAGTCTCACTATCACTGCTGCTTACTGAAGTCTCACTGGAGGATGAGGAAGAGGATCTCATCTTATGTTTCTTGTGTTTACTTTTGCTTTTTTTCTTCTGCTGCTTTTTCTTCTTTCTGTCTTTCTTTTTCTTTTTCTTCTCCAGACGATCCAACTTCCTTTTATTTTCAAAACAGAAGAGTAGCGCAATCAGATGTGATAAGATATTCTAAATTACAAAGTCATTCTTTCAAAGTTCACCACTTCTGATGACCTACACAGTAAATACACTGTTTACCATAAAAACATGTTGAATTCCTCTTCCTCTTTCAGTGAAGTATTATTTTTAAACTTCTAACCTGTCATTAACCATAGTAAGAATCCTCCTGTAAACCACAGCTGCTCCCTCAAAACAGGAGGAATATGATTTTTTTAATTCTTTGACTTCAAAAAAGATAAGTAAGATATGTCAATTCTGGCCTTGTAACTAGGAATAAATACATTCAGTAGTGATTTTTTTTTTTCCTTGTCAGCCTGCTCTGGAGACTTTGGAAAATCACTACTGCTTTTGTTTGTGCATTTTTATAAGAGATTTTGAAAATGAAAAAATGCAATTAGCATTCACTTTCTATTAATGATGGAAACTGAGACTCTAAAGCTCTAAGTTCTCCAGGCAAACAATATGGGTATTTTCAGTAACTACTTCTGTCACAACTAGAAATTTACATTTTCTAGCCATAAGTACAACATTCCATCATGCACACGAATTCACTGCTATTTGACTGTTTTCACCTAGTTTTGCTTTCTGTGTTCATGCTTCTCAAAAAATCAGTGACTGAATAGTGAAACTACTTTCAGTGTATTAAAAAAAAAATCCCTTCAGACTAGTAAAATCTAAAGGATCCAAATATTTACTGAACTTCAACTTTCAAAATAGAAAGTATTATTATTTCATTGTGTTGGGCGAGCAGAAGTTCAAACAAAATACTGTTTTAAATTACACAAACCACATACACATTCCTCACTTAAAAGGAACATAAAATATGCCAACTATTTCCATATTTATTATATATGCAAATACCATATGTACTTACCTACTCATGTACGTGCTTAGCCATTCACCCTTCTCCCCTCCTCCCACTCCCCATATAAAGAACATCTTTCAACCTCAAAGACTGTTTTAACTAGTGATACCTGTACGGGATGTACCAGGCAGTAGTTAGTATTTTTCATTTTAAACATTTTTAAGTTATTTCAAGATAATGTTGCAAATTAACAGAGAAAAAAAACTGTAAGTCACCTGACATATGAAGTCAGTAGGACAGAAGCACAGAATGAAGCCTCCTTAAGTTTTTATTAGAACTACAAAACCACGGGGACCTCCCTCTGCTGGAGCAGCAAACTGTAAGCCCTGATCCAAGAGCAGTGCAGAGCCAGGCCAACCTTGGCCCTGGGATGCAACCGCCATGTCAGGTTCAGTTTAGCCGCACAGGAAAAGAGAACAAACTTTGCCAAGTTGTAAACCAGTAAACAAGAACACAGAATTTTTAATTCTGGAAGAAGATACTGTAAAAAAAGGAGTGCAAAATAATATCTTAAAATAGGAACTGACTGCATCTTCAGTGAACCAGTTATTGTTATTTCAGTACCCCAGTCAAATTGGAAATGAGCCTCAGTGCAAGGGCGTCACAACTAGATTAGAACAGCTAGACTAAAACAAAACAACTGGATTAAAAAAACATGCCACATAATGCCATTTGTGGCCAAGTGTATGTTAAACTCAGCTGATTTTCTTCTGTATTAATGGTGCTAAATTCTTCAATGGCATTGAAAAGTTACAGAGACAATCATGGAGTCAGAACTCCTGGTGATACAGATCCCCTCCACTAGGTACCACACTTACCGTAGAAGTTTCTGTTTTTGTTTGGTTGACAGTGATTTTAAAAATTCAACTTCTGGATCATCATCTCCTTCACTTGCAACAAATTCCTAGGAAAACGTAGTAAGACATCAAGTTCTTATGTATAAAAATAATCTCTTCATTCAGATTTCTGTATTAAAAGTGAGATGCCTCTATGTACCTTATTTTTGCACAGGCACAAATATATTTGTATTACAAAGTCAGCTTAAGACTCTTTGGGAAGAGCACCATACTTGCTACAAAGTGAAAAAAAACCCCCACATTCTCTCTCAAAGCTGAGTAGGTGTTGTAAAGTGAGGGTTATACAACGGGAGTTATTAGTAACATAAGAAAAAATCACTGCTAG